TTGTCAATTGTCTGTGTTTGGTAGAGAGAGTGTGCTAGTTTCTCCACTTTAAGAGACTCTTTATCAATCGGCTTCATTGTAACCGTGTTCTTTATAAATGAGAAGCACATTGACCATAGTGTGCCATGAAGTTCAAGAAAAAAGCTAGATAGACAGATAGAAACATCAGAGAGAAAGAAACGTCACGTCACTTAGTCATCTGCGCATACAGATTTTGTCTGAGCAAACGTACCTTACAACAATTAGTATTACTACAAGTACAGTTGAAAGTTTTTTTAAAAACCAAACGAGGGGGATCCCGTGGCCTAGAGGTTAAGGTGTTTGCCTCTCATTAATAGGTCCCGGGATCGAATCGGGTAGCGACGGAAAAAAATTTCTTTTCTAAAATTGTCTCCTTTCACCTCCTCTCCTGCTCTCTTGCAATGTTCTGTCGTCTGCTTTCGCCTCCTCTTTCTACCCCTCCCCCCTCACCTCCTTTGCCCCCTCCACTGAGCTCCTGATTCTTTCTGCAGACTTACTACATGGCTCCTTCTTTCTGCTGTCTTTCCGCCACACCCCTGATGTTCTGGTATGAAAGATCTACCCCTAGCCTTCTCGGACACGGGCTAAAAATCTCGCAGGTCCCGTGTGCAAGTTGCGCACGTTAAAGATCCCTCGACGGTCTAAAATCTATTAGAGTAGGCTCCGGCCGCCGCCCGGGCAAAATTCAAAATTTCCTACCAACTGAAAATGCTTAATGTGTCCTTCATGCTCATATGACCTTATGCAGTTGCGAGCGCCGTAAAACGCTTACCAAAACAAACAAAACAAAATCAAACGAATGGAGTTGGTGCCAGTACTGTTGTTTTTTTTACCCTTCGACTTACTTATCAGCGACACCAGTTTGATTCCCTCTTGGTGAAATATTGTAACTAGGTAAAAATAACTCCCTATTTTTTCAAGTGTATTCGGATCAAACAGGCAAAGGCGTACGTTACACTTTTAATAATCTTGCCAGTAGAAATATGTAAACACGGGGTGTGTAAAAATTACACATATAAATGGCAATAACTCGATAAGTTTTACACTAGTTTCAAGAAAACTTCGAACAAATAAGATTCAACCAAAGGGACGTTAAATTCAACAACTAAAATAAATTAATCTCTTTGTTAGAAAAATATTAGTCTAAAATTGCAACAAAAACTGAATAAAATGCACAACTTTACAATTTATTGACAATGAACCATACTGTGTATTTGAGCATTTTAATAGTATCTTAAACTGACATTGGCCAAAAATAAATAAATTTATAAATAAGAAATTACTCTTTCATAGCGCTATAGTTTCCTGGGGGGGGGGGGGTGAAACACTAAGGCAAGGAAAAGCCGACACAAAATCGAACGGCTGAAACTCAATGGTAAACAGAATGTTAAAAGAATCGACCTGCCCAGAAACATGCCACAAGGTTAGTCAAAATTTTCATTCTTTCGAACTTGTCTGGAGCGAAGTGATCAACAGCTGAAGCATATAATCAAAATTGTCAACGCCTTTGTTTTGAAATGTCAATTTCAATTTTTTTTTTCAAAGCATAAATACACGTTATGGCTGATTCTTATGAAGTTGTAAAAGTTTTGTGTTTTGCTCAGTTTTAGCTGAAACTTTAGAAGCTTGATATCTCCCGATCCCGTCACTTGTTTTTTTTTTAGGTGCTTTTTTCATATAGCATACTTTGATGTCCTCTTGGCTGAAGTTCATTTGTTTTAAGTTATTATTGTTTTAAAGATGACCATAATATTGCTCTTTCCATGGGTCTTCTATTTAGATACCCTGTGTACTACGATAGTGGATCAAAAAGCAAAGGAAGAGGCCATATAGAGATTAAGCTACTGATTTCAGTCATAAAAACAACTAGCTGGGCCCCCTTTCGATGAAAGGAATGATCGGTGCATTAACATCAACTGAAAGTCATTGGCTTACTATATTTACACTCTACTGGAATGGAGCAATAAATCTTGAGAGATGCAAAAAATTAGAAGGTCTAGATCTAGATCTATACTCTCAAAACAAAATGCGCCTCGCAAAATATCACTTCGCACCGAATTTTCTAAAATTGCAGAGACAGAAGCGTCGGCCTACAAAAGCCATCGGCGAAACAAAGAAATTTAGCTTTTTCCAGCAAAACTGTCTGAAAACTGAAAAAACGAAGGGCGTCATGATCTGGAGAATATGTTAAAGAATCTTTTGGCGAAAACCGCATGTCGATCGATGCAGCCATTAAAAAGCCTTTTGAATAGCAAAATTCGGCCACCACAAATAGATAATAGAGACACGTAACTGGACGCAATGGAACCCAACCCCGTGACATCACAGTATTCTGGGCTAAAAATTTGATTCCGAACCAAAGATAGTGAATAACAAGATGGGCCACTCAGCCAAAAAAGTGTCCGCAGGAAGTATGCTCTTTGCTTCAGATGGCGCTGCAGTCTGTTTTGAAGCTCTCTTTCGTTTTTCCAGAAGAAGAATAGGAATAGCACCTCCTTGCGTGCGCAGATCGACTGCTGTTCATCAGCAGTTCGGGTACGTTCAGTGCGGAGTTTTAGTTTTTTAAATTTTAATGACCTCTCGCCTTTCATTCTAAAGTCAAATTAAACGAAGAAAACCATTACCCTTTCCTCCGGAAGAGGTTTTTTGTCAGCGTAACCATTTTAAAAAAGCGTTCTTCCGAAATTTATCCCAAAACTTGCTAGTTTCACTATGATTTTTTAAAACTCAAGTAGGGTAACTCTGTTCGCAAAGAGTGCGCTTTTGTGAAGAGGGCGCCACCAAATTTTGAGGACACTTTTTTAATTGGCTCAAAGAGAGAAGTGGCCCATCTTGTTATGTACTATCTTTGTTCCGAACAAGCCACCCTTCCCCCCTGCCCCCTCAATTTTGAGATCGAATAGTTTTAGTAATGACAGTGGTAGGGTATCGAGACTCGTAAATGATCATTCACATCTCTGAACATCGCGAGTAGGTGTATATTTTTCTGTATTTTGAAGTACAGCGTTATATCTACCCTTGCTCTCCGCGGGGAGGTAGGAAGAGGGTGTGCTCAATCCTTGGTCTGGAGCCGCGAGCATGTACATATTAAGTGTCAAACAATGCCTAGGCTTACGTCACAAAATGCGTGGATGTAGGTGAAGCGAGACGTTCTTTGATCTAAAAAGGCCTGGAGCTGCAGTTGAAGCAAGCAGTCAGTTTCTTTTCTCTGCTACTGGCTCATTTTTCCGTGTAGATACCAACAAGGGAGGGGCCGAGTTTGAGGTCAGTTTCTTCGATAGATGACCAGTTTTTGAACGGGGAGAGAATTCAAGGATCATCACATAACCAATGTCTACACTCAAACGAATAATTGGAGTTTTATGTAATATCGCTCTTGATTTTCTTATGAGCCACAAACAGAATGCTGTACTGGTTGTTGTTTTTGTTTTGTTTTGTTTGTTTGTTTGTTTATTTGTTTGTTTGTTTGTTTGTTTGTTTTTTGTTTGTTTGTTTGGTGGGGTGGAGGAGTGCGTTCTGGGGGAAACTAGATGACGTTCACTCAAAAAAATACGAGCCGTTTTTATATCTTTATGGGCTGTAAACTTGGCAAATCGCCGAATCTGATTCATGGAAATTTACAGACTGCGTGGTGAAGAATCTGCTTGTTTATATAACACAGTTTGTTGTTGGTTTAGAGAATTTGGGGAAGGGAGGGACTCTGTTCTTGATGACCCAAGTCCTGGTCGCCCAAATTCCCATGTGGACGAGACAACCGTGGATGTTATCCCACACGATAATGGGCATGATCCCCATACCTCTCAATGAGATCTTTCTGACATGTCTGGACCTAAGCATGGGTCGGTGCAAAATATTGTTCGTGGAGAACTCCATATTTTAAAAAAGTGTTAGCTCTTTGGATACCCCATTCACAAACAGAGGAAACAGAGAGAGAGAGAGAGAGAGAGAGAGAGAGAGAGAGAGAGAGAGAGAGAGAGAGAGAGAGAGAGAGAGAGAGAAAAGTGAGATGTGTAAAAAAATAAGTGTTCTCATCATGTTTGAACCCCATGGGCCCCTGCGTCACAGGAGGCGAAAGAAGGATGTATTTTCCTTTTTGGAATTCTATCAAAACGTCGAGGATTTCAAAGAAGTAAAAGACGTTTTATTGTCTTTTTCAATTAAGGGATGTCCCTCGTGGCTGATATCATGCCACTTGAATATATGTACATCTAGGTCTTTTATTTCCTACATGCAAAGGGTATTGCCTGAATGAAAAATGCTGTTGATGAGTTGAAATCATAGATCAGAACCTCAACGTCCCCCCCCCCCCGTCTACGCAACAACAACGCAGTTCCCAACGAAAAATTCGCCGCCACAACTCTGTATAGCCAATGTTCCAAATTTTTTCTCATACAGCTTACAGTCCTAATAAGCTCCCTGTGACTTCTGATTTTTCCTTATTCTGAAATAACAGCTGTCTAGACTTAAGTTTGAGCGCATTCAGATCCTTACAAGAGCTGTCAATCCAGAGCTTCGAAGCATTATTGGAAGTATTGGAAGTTGACTACAGTTATGGCTTCCAGAAATGACTGTAGAGGAGGGAATCCTGCACTATCAAGGAGAATATTTCGAATCACTGTGATATTTTCAGGATCATATGTTTTACATTTTTTGGAGATATTTCACAACTTCCATTGATTTTTTCTGAAATATCTTATGTATTACGCTATTACGTCATACCACACCTTGCTACAAAATCATTGGCTACTATGTCGCAAGGTACCATACCATGCCATGCCATGCCATACCATACCGTACCATACCATACCATACAATACCATGTCATACCATACCATACCATACCATACCATACCATACCATACCATACCATACCATACCATACCATACCATACCATACCATACCATGGTTCAATATAAAGTAATATAAACGTTTGTTGTCAATTAAAACCTTTCGATGCATATTTTATCTGTGTTCACAGTTGCCATAATCTGTATCCCGATAACTGCTCTGGGCTACGTGTACAACGTGTGGGTAGTGGGAGGAACGGCCATGTGTAAGGTCACAGCCTACATGCAAGGTAAGTGTCTTGTACTTTCGTGATGGGCGACAGTTTGATTACGATGAAGAGTATTGGGGATTATGATGTTGAGTTAGAGGCTCGAGGGAAAAGATTTAGATCAGAATCTGTCTGTGAGTGTGCGTGTTGATGTGTTTTTGTGTTTATTTGCGAACGTTTGTGGGCGTCTGTTTGTTTGTCTGTTTGTCCATCTTTTTCGTCAGTCGTTTGCTTGCTTGTTTGTTTATTTTTTTGTTTGTCTGTCTGTTTGTTTCTTTATTCGTTTGTGACATGTCTCTGTACCCAGCTATTTCATCAAAATCCACGTATTATCTGTCAACCGTTGTCTCTCACTCACTCACTCGCTCTCTCAAACCATAGCAGTGTAGCTAGAAAATAAATAATATGAGTTTTTTCGAAATTTCTTTCTTTCTTAGTTGCTTTACGCTTGTTTCCATATTATATTTATGCCCTGGACACTATTCGAAAGAAAACAGTCTGTATAGATCTACTGCCTGCTGGCTTCCCGAAACTTTTAAGACATGAAACTTTAACAGTATAATATAGTACATGTATTTATTTTTAGACACTGTGGCTTCCAGCCATTTCGGAAACAAAATCAAACAAACAAAACCAATATCGACTTAATCCGTAAAGCAGACATAGAATAGTTGGGGGGTAAGGGGGGGGGGTTGATGTAATCACTCTGATGACTTATAACATACCAGACATTGCTGCTAATATTTTCCAAGATTTATTTGTTTATTTATTATTGATCTCAATAGTAGTGTTGATTCTATAGATGTGGGGGGAGGGGGGTTCAGCTTTTTTGCATGTTTGTCAAGGTGTAAGCTTCTGCGGCGGTGAACAGGAGTGTGAAAAAGAGGGTGGGAGGGGGAATCACTCAGTTCCCTTTTTTATGTTCAGAAATTGGTTATGTGAAAGCCGCTTTCAGTTTATATTATTTTTGCCAGACATTGTTCTTCTTATTTTGAGGGAATTATTTATTGGCCCCTTGCGGATACGCAAAATGTCCAGACTTATTACCAGGTTTCACTGAAATATATATAGGAAAATATGACTAATGTAACCAACTTGGTACGCAGCTACACCCAAACGACAAAGAAAGCCATAATATTTCATTATCAGCGCAACAAGAGACAGGGACAGAAAAAAAGGGGAAAAAAGTACAACTGACATATGCACATTCTTTTCCCAAAAATGGAAAGTAGGAAAATGGTTTGTGCTACTGATAATTTAGTTTCAAATATACAATATGTTGATTATCTCTTTATCAAACAGACTGCACAAAGTATTGCTTCGGCATTTAATCTTCCTGAAAAATTAAGGGGTCTAGTACGCTTGAGCAACCACGCATGACGTATTGCTAAAGCCTGCCATGCCCACCATGATTATGTCCATTCACAGTCTTCTGAATTATACATCATCGCCAGAATTGCCATATTTGCAAAGTCAAAATGAAGACACAGGCTGGTTGTTTGGCCTCTATGAAATCCGTAAACATTGCCCATTGTTTGTTTTTTTCTAATAAATCTTAAAACGGTCAAAATAGAAACACAGAAAAAACATTTTTGTCTCTGAATTCCGTGAACAAAATACAGAAAAACAGAATAGATTTTTAAAGCATTCATGGATTAATTTTTGGACAAGGAAGTACCATTACGATAAAAAGCAAACCTGAGTTGGGTCAGACAAAATTTGCCGGTGTAGACGATTGCTAAATGCAAAAAGAAAATGTTTCCTGGGAACCTTTTTTAATATTAAAAAAATCCTAAAATAGGTGCGATTCTCTCATCACTTTTATTAGATTCTAGACAGTATACATGTGATGCTTGATAGAAAAAGAAGTCTTACACAAGGTGTTTCAATCCAGAAATGTCAAGTTAAGATGGGCTAATCAATTATGGCCTAACTCAGTTCTATAAAGTGATAAAAGAATTCTCACCCCTGAGCAAAATCAATAGCTTGGGGGGCTTCGTGACCTAGAGGTTAAGGTGTTCGCCTCTCATTCAAATGTCCCGGGTTCGAATCCGGGCACTGACTGAAAAAAACTCTTCTCTAAAATAGTCCTCTTTCACCTGATTTCCTGCTCTCTAACAATGTTCTGTCGTCTGATTTCGTCTCCGCTTTCTACCCCTACCCTCTCACCTCCTTTGCCCCCACCTCTGGGCTCCTGACTGTTTATGCAGCCTTTTTACTGCTTCTCCTTGGCTCCTTCTTACTGCTGTCTTTCAGCGATACCCCTCATCTTATGGTAGGTAAGATCTACACCTAGCCTTCTCGGACATGGGCGAAAAATCTCGGAGGTCCTGCGTGCACGTTGAGCACGTTAAAGAATCCTTGGTGGTCCCAAATCGATAAGAGTAGGCTTCGGTCGCCACCAGGGAAAAATTTCTTATTTCCTACCAACTGAAAATGTTTAGTATGTCCCGCGCCGTAAAACACTTACAAAAAAACCCAACAACAAACAAAGAAACAAAATGAAAAACAACATGTAGCCTACGTGACTGAGTTTATGACAGAGTCATAATAATATTATTGTGGTGGAAATAGTAATCGGGTCAAGTACGTGAAATGCGCTTCCCAGGTCTAAAACTGTAATCATCTGTGATTTCAAATTCCCATCGACATATTATTTTAACCCCCCCCCCCTACACACACACAATAACAAACAAAAAACACCCCAAAAAACACCCCCAAAAAAACAAAAATACAGGAATGGAACTCACGTATTCTGTGTACGACGGAGAACTGCCAAAACACCACAGCACAGACGTCGTTCTTCACAGTTCACTAGATCACACATTTAATTGGAGGAATAGGAGAAAACGGAGCCGTGCTTTGAATCACGTTATAACAGTTGTCAGTATTGGTGTTTTTCTTTTCTTTTCTTTTTTTTTTGGGGGGGGGGGGGGGTGGGTGGTAATAAACGGTTATCTGTTGGACATTAGATTAGATATAGCTGGTCATGTTTGGCGTTGAAGAGTTTATTGAACTTGTATACAAGACGGTATGCAGTGATTGGTAAATTGAAATAGATATTACTCGGTATTTGAGTTTCTATTAACCTCTATTGAGCTATAAAAAAGAACGATATGAAATTGTGTCAGTATACTACTGAAATGGCATGTTTCATAGTTCCCAATATAAGGAATGAGTAACAAATCCAGTTTCTCTGTTGCTCACATTTTTCTCACGCTAACGGGCCATTGCCACTTACTGCTTTTGTGTAAATCTCCTTTTTCATTCTCTTTTTCTACGTTTAGAAACCGTCTTACCAGAGCGTACGTGTGAATACCGATACCTCTGAGGGTATGTTAATGAATTTTTTTTTCAATTGGCTCCTTTTAAGTACAAAACTGCAATTTCAAAACAGAACTGACTATGATATTAATTATTTTGAATAAATCAGTTTCTCGAAAACCTGTCATACATGATGGGTATGAAAAAGTCGACATGTTCGCAATGGTTCTAACATAATAATATTAAGTATTAAACAAGTATTGAATAGATACAATGCATAATCTGCCCAGGACTTTTTTGTAAACCAAAGCATGCGGCTCTCGTGGCCTAGAGGTTAAGGTGTGGGTCTCTCATTCAAAGATACCGTGTTCGATTGCGGGTAGCGACCGAAAAATTTTCTTCTCTAAAATTGTCTCCTCTCACCTCCTTTCCTGCTCTCTAGCAATGTTCTATCGTTTCCTTTCGTCTTTTAATAATAATAATAATAATAATAATAATAATAATAATAATAATAATAATAATAATAATAATAATAATAATAATAATAATAATAATAATAATTTTAAAAAAAAAATAGTAGTAATAATAAATGACATTTATATAGCGCTCAACCCCGAATAAAGTACACCGGCTCTGAGCGCTTTACAATACAGTACAACATACAACAGTAACATAAAACGTTGTGTTCTGACTAAATAAAATTATTCCAAATATTCATCTTATTAATTTGAAAACAGAAACGACTCCAGCTGACATTTGAATGAATCAAAAGATTTGATCTCTCTCAGAGTACTTGGTAGAGCATTCCAGATCTTGGGGCCTTGGTATTCAAATGCCCTTTCACCCATTGTTTTAAGTTTCGTAGAGGGTAAAAAAAATGAATTTTTTGTCAGCTGATGACCTTAAACTGCGAGTTGGAATGAAGAGTCTTAACAGATTTGATAAATATGATGGTGCATTATCATTCAAACATTTGTGACATAGGGTGGCCTACTTGTACACAATCCTTTTCTCAACAGGAAGCCAATGCAAAGTTCGTAAAAGAGGTTTAGCAGAGTCTGGCTTCTTTTCCGTAAACTAAACGTGCAGCATTGTTTTGGACAGTTTGAAGAGTTTCACTTTCGCCAGTGACATTCCTGATAACAAGGGGTTTTCTTTCTGCCTACACTCCCTCACCTCCTGTGCCCCCACCTGTGGGGTCCTGACTCCTTGTGCAGTCTTTCTACTGCTACTCCTTGGCTCCTTCTTACTGCTGTATTTCTCACCTAGCCTTCTCGGACAAGGGCGAAAAATCTTGGAGGGCCCGTGTGCAATGTGTGTACGTTAAAGATCCTCTGGTGATCTAAAATCGATAAGAGTAGGCTTCGGCCGCCACCCAGGGAAAATTCCAAATTTCCTATCAACTGAAAAAATTTAATGTGTCACGCGCGCTCATATGACCTTATGCAGTTGCATGCGCCGTAAAACGCTTACCAAAAAACAACAACCCAACAACAACAACAACAACAAAAAACCAAAGTAAAGCTGTGCCAACATCTGGACAACCAGGCAAGCTAAAAGGGCAACACGATATGTATGTTTTTTTGTGTTATTAGCGAAGTAAGTTATCGCCCAATTTGTCTGGCACTTGTGGATTGAGTTTTTTCCTTAGACCAATGAAAATAGTATATCTATACAAGAAGAAAAAAAAAGCTAGCCAAAAAAAACACAAAAAAACAACAACTATACATGTATAGTGAATATTACTTATTATTGTT